GTTCGAATGGCCTTGAATGCCCCGGGCATGCCATCTGCCTTACGACCGGAAGCGGTCCGTCCTCTCAAACCAAATTGCACCCGTGCCCCCGAAAAACTCTGCCACAGGAGACCCCAGTTCTGACCTGGGACTCCACCCCCACTTTCCCAAAAATCCTTGGCACACCCCTTTTCGCACTTTCAGGCCCACATCCTACTCCGATCAGGAAGTCGTGTTGGGCGTGAGGTTGGGCGTCACAGAGGGGTGACGAGGAGAAAGTTGGAGGAGGGAGAACGAGAGAAGAGGAGGGAAGAGGAGTAGGGAGGACAAGGACTACGACGATGGACGAGGATAGAGGATGGAGGCTGGAGGAGAAGAGAGGAGAGCGACGAGCATGGATGGAGGAGGAGGGAGGAGGGTGATGAGCATGGGTGGAGGAGGAGGGAGCAACGATCCATGGCGCGGCGAACTTGAAGACCGACTGCGGCACCCTTTTTCCCTGGCGGCACGTGAAATACCTACCATTTTCGAGTTCGAATTCCTGTCCCTACTGTTGCAAGGGCATCACAGAAAGATGTGTGCCCCTCGTGAGGGCATTTCAAGGATGGACCGACGAAACGCCACCAGCCGTCCAGTAAGGGCATATTGGAAAGTTACGCCCCATGCTAACAGGGGCCTGCGAAAAATTTCAGAGGCTAGAGGGGCATAACAGGGTAAGGTCGGCCTTCACAGGGGCACGCCGCAAATAAACGCAAACTTCAGGGGCATTTCGAAAATTTTCCCAACCAATTTTCGTTTTTCTTTTTTTTTAATTTGTAAATCAAGTCAAACTCAAAATAAAAATTATGGGGTTGTAGGGTTTTGCAAACCCTACAACTCCATATTTTTATTTTATTTTTTCGTTTATTTTTTGACCCAAAAACAAATATCCAAAAAATAGGGCCGCAAACCAGGCCTCCTGGCTACGGCCGCGACCGACTTTTCCGACCGCGCGACCGAATTGCCCGCGGCCTAGACCGCGGGTGTCACGTAGACCACATGTTTATGCCGGCATAACCCTCTCTCCTTTCAGGCTCACCTTGTGTGTGCTCCCTTGTGTGAGTGTCCTTTCCCTTTCAGTTGGCAGTATCCGTTTGGTGGTTTCTATCGAGCTCGGTGTCGTCGTGTTACTCTTCCTCTGAGCCTGATGATATTTACCTGGTTGTGTGGGCACCTCCTTGGAGTTTACTCTAAGAGTTGTACCCGCCGCCATCCTACCCATCTCTACCTTTACCATGCGACATAGTTCCTTTTCCCTTTATTCAGGTGTTGTGCATTGTGTACACGACATGTGAGACTGTGTCACGTTCTTTTTCGACTTAGGAAATTGGTCTTTTTATTCTTTGGCCTTTAGGGCCCTGATGTTGATTTATATTCGACCACATTGGCTTAGGATACATTTTTCTCTTTCTTGGCCGATACAAGTCAAACATTTTTTTGCTTTTTGGGTCGACTCAGTCCAGACATTGTTTCATAGATTAGGCTTGATGCTTAGTCTGCATTGCATCCCTTTTCCTCCATGGAGCTTGCTCTGCATTTAGGATTGTTTTCTTTGCAGTTCCTTTTAGGTTTCCGCTATTTCAGCGGATAGTGTGTTTGATGTATCGCTTGATCCATTCACAGTTTTGAGGGTCGTGTAGCAGTACCCTTGCGGCCCGACAGTGAGGCCAGGCCAGTTTCAGGCCGATGGCCTGATCCTGGACCAGTACCAGGTATTCCCGTACCTGAACCTGCGTGCGTGTGTGTGTGTGTGTGTGTGTGTGTGTGTGTGTGTGTGTGTGTGTGTGTGTGTGTGTGTGTG